GGACACAGGTCTACAGAAAAGCGTGGAGACTGTTGTGGAAGACAATTGTAACAACAGACCCATGAGGAGCCTGCGGGATACAGGATAAGAGATGTGAGTGACTTAGGAAGAAAATAAAATCCGAGTGTGGTTGGCCCCAGCTGAATCAGCTTTTCCATCCCTGCAGCAGCAGCAGTAAAGCAGCTATGGACACAAAAAGTGACTCCCCACCTTAGTGTGCTGACACGTCTGCCTAGGATCCCTGATGCTGCTCAGGCCAAGAACAGGGTAACCCTGAAGGAAAAGACAAAAGAATGTCAGAGTTGGGGCTCATGAGTCACACCGCACACAAGGAGTGTGTAGGTCCTAATCCCTTTACCCACAATCCCTACCTAGAATGCCTTCAGTCTGTCTTAAACCTCAGTGACAAACCTGGCCACTCTTGAACAAGGACCAAACTCACCACAGAGATAGAAATCCCATGGTCTCCTTCAGAAGATGAAGTCGCAGACTCTAGCTAACCAGTTCAAGCTTGCCAGCTAAGAGGAAGGCAGGGGCTGGGTCAATGGGCGCTGTCCACGGGAGGGAGCTGGCCTCAGCTAGTGCTGCCCATTGAAACTTTCCCCAGGAACTAATCAACTTCATTTTGTTTCTCCAATATTTTAGCTGGAACCATTGGACCTATAAGTGAGTTTCTTTTTATCTCTTTGTCCTCTGGGATCCGGGACCCTACCCTCTCCATACCCCTCCTGTCTCAACTCCCATTCCTGAAGACTTTCCCATACATGTTCTGTGATTGCATTCAAAGTCCATGACACCACCTGACGCCAAGACCTAAGACAAAATGCCCTGAAACTTCACCGAGTTTAAGAAAGGGGAAGGTTAAATAGGTTTCACATTTTTGTTTTCTTTTCTTTTTTTTTATTTTGTTGAGATTTTTGTTTCTATTTATTTCTCAGTTAAGATGGGCCCTGAATAACCTGCTCTGATGGGAACTTTTTATGATTCTCTGCTAAATTGCGTGCCGTCTTTGTATTAGCCATTCTCCCTCTGGTTGCGCTGTTTCACGATGTCTTTGGGAAATACTGGTGGCATGTAAATTCTGCACCTGTTAGCCACACTGATGCTCCCTTGTTTAAATTGTAGTGCAATTCTCCGCGCCTATCCGTGAGTATCTGTCTTCCACTCCGGCCCTTCCCATAGCCAGCCTGCAAGGGTGGGGGTGGACCCGCCCCTTTCCCGGGCATCTCATTACAGTTCCCTAAAGGACCATGCCTGAAATGCAAAGACCTCGAATCCCATGTACTAACTTAATTTAAAAAAAAAAAAAGAAAAACAAAAAACCTTAGGCTGTAAGTCTCTAAGAAAATGAACAAAGGAAAACATAACCATTGCAATCTAATGTAGGGCCTTTCTCGACTGCCTAAGGCTGACCCCCCACAAAGCAGAAAGCAAGCTCTGCTCTTACAGGTCCCGTGTGTTGCACAATGGGAAGGTTGCCTGTGGCTTAGCGCACAAGCCACGCTTGGTTTTCACAGACTTTGCATCCATGATAGTTCTGCTAGAGTGAAGGCTGAGAGGCAGGTGTTCAGGTATTTCCTTCATAAAATAATGATCTCTCTCTCTCCGTCTCTCTCCAGCTGGAGCGACAGGGCCTATCAGTAAGTCTCTTCTCCAGCTCTCTACTGGGGTGTTCCCTCTTTCTATGCAATAGCTAAAGGGTCTTTTCCCGCTTCCTCTGGTAGTTTCAAAGGTCTGGAAGTGTCAAGTTCTTGGCCTTTTTGGTTTTCCTCCTTTTTGGTTTTCAGTGAGTCATCTGGGAGTCGTGAACACACACTTCACTGGTAGCAGAAAGTGGAGGTTGGGCCATGGTAAACAACACACACGTGCTTTTAACAGCAGCTTGGAGGGCAGTGGGAGCAGAAGAAAATGGTTCTGGTGGGCAGGGATTTCCTAGCCCTCTGCAAGAGTTTAAAAAGAACCTCTGCCACCAGCGTCTGCCCCAGCTCGCTCTAGCACTTCCAGCAAGAGTCAGCTTGCTGCAGCCCAGCTCCTGTCTGCCTCAGTCCCCAGCAGAGAAGGCTTGTAGACCAGAGCCGTGTTCAAAGCCCAGGTCACCTACTGACTCACTTCTTGTTTCATTTCCTTTTTCTTTCCAGATCTGTGTCAGAAAACCTTCGGTAAGTCCCCTCGTTTCTTTTGACGTCCAATTTCTCTGACAACTTTTCTCCAGACAGTTGGTTCTGTTGTCACCAGCTGCCATAGCAACCATCGCCTCCCGATTCACACTTTTCCTCAGAAACAGTATAAGCAACAGCTAGGTCCCAAGATGAAACTCGTCGTTGCTATATATGGCTTTATAGTTGAGTCCTAGCTACACACAAACTAGTTCCTTTCATGTTGTGTTTAGATCTTACTAACAAAATTAAGAATTTTTTTTTAAACGAAGTGCCTCTAGATTCATGTGATTAACTGAGTGAGCCATCGTTGGCTAACTCTGAAAGGTTTCGTTGCCCTTTGTCTTGTTTTGGGGGAGCAGCAATCATGAGTAGTGTGGTATCATGTTTTTCTTAAGAAGTAAGGACTCAAGTTTCTTTAAAATTTATTTTTGTTTTCTATGTGTTGGTATTTTGCCTGCACATATGTCTGAGTGAGGGCGTCAGGTTCCCTAGAACAGGAGTTACAGACAAATGTAAGCTGCAGTGAGGGTGCTGGGAATTGAACCCAGGTCCTCTACAAGAGCAGTCTGTGCTCTTAACCACTGAGCCATCTCCCAGCCCAAGGACTCAAGTTTTATTGACTGTTAGTCCTTCGGCTACCATTTTTGGGTGTTTCAAAGAGGGTTACAGAACATGTTGAATTCAGGAGAGAAGGTGGAAAATCAACAATGGGAAAAAGGATGAAGATGATGGTCGGAGAGAGAAAAGGGAAGGAGAAAATGGGAAGAAGTCAGCGAAGCAGGAGGCGGGAGACTCAGTAAGGCTGAGAAAGGGCTGGAAAGGAAGGCTGCACATGCTGACAGCGGGGGAAACTGAAGAAAGTGCAAAAACATGAAGTGATCATCTATGCAATGGCTGACACTAACTTAGCAAGTACTCTAGGGGGTCTACCCCAAGAACAAGGGTAAACACACATGCATGTGTGCATGTACACAGTGAAGAGGGGGAGAAATTGCTAAGTTATATTGCAAAACACCCAAATTTCTGGCTTGTCTACTGCTCGTAGCCTGGGGTACCCCGATCTGGAAAGCCACCTTCAGCTGAGTCAACCATAGACCTCTTTCATCATGAGCACCAGGGCACGAAGCATGGTGGAGAAGAAAGGAGCTGCTGTCCCAGCAGGGGGTCTTTTGG